GCCCTCTTAAGTACACTGAATGGGATCAGACATAAATCCAACGGAAAGGACTGGAGGCATGGAAGATGGTGTGTCACTTTCGGCCAGTTGGTAGCACTCTGTTCTCAAAAGACTGAAAGCCCAACCTTACGATAACAACAAGGAGGAAGCCATTCAGCCCTTGAGCCTGTTCTGCCATTCAATTAGATTACGGCCAAGCTGCATTTTAACTGCATTGACTTGGCTTTGTTCCCCAGACCATCACGCTGAAAGTGAGCAGGTAATATCACCCAGAGAGCCAGGCAAATGTGGGGGACATGGATTCAAATTCCACTATGGCACCTGGTGGAATTTATATTCAATGAGTCAATCTGAAATATAATCTTCAATAATGGTGGCTCTGAAAGCACCGTTGATTGTTGGAAAAACCCATCCAATTCACTAATGTCCTTCAGGGAAGGAAATCTGTCATCCTTATGTGGTCTGGGCCTCTGTATGACTCCAGACCCGCAGCAAACATGGCTGATTGTTAACCACCAACTGAAATAGCTGATTGAGTTCAAGAGGCAATTAGAGATGGGTAGCAAATACTGTCCTCACCAGTGATGTTCACATCCGTGGAAGAACAGAAAAACCCCCTTCCTCAAAAACAAATTGGTCAGTTTCGAAATTTTCAATTGCACCCCACTTCAATGTCAACAGCTTTTTTTTTGGTGAGAGGGGCAATGGGAAAGAATTCCATACTTCATTCCCCGTTGTCTGAAGAATTGCTTCCGGATTATACATTGCTGAGTGTAACTTCTGGGTTTGTAGTTCCTACTCTGAAAAGCAAACGAATGAAGTAGGGCTGTTTAACTCTCAAACCACTTTTCAACAGCTATTCAGTCATTTTCCTTTATAAACAAGCTGAGGCCAATTCAGTGACCAGGAGTCCGTTCCACGCAATCCACCATCCATGGGAGACAAACATGCCTTGGCAGCACCAGCACAAATACATGCAAAGTCATTTGGCTGCTGGAAATCTGAAATCGATACAGAAATTGCTGGAGAAACTCAACAAGTCTGGCAGCATCTGGGGAAAGAGAAACAGAGTTAACATTTCGAGTCTGACATGACTGTTCTTCAGTCACACCAGGCTTGAAAAGTGAACTCTGTCTCTCTCTCTCCACAGATGCTGCCAGACCTGTTGAGTTTCTCCAACAATTTCTGCTTCAATTTTAGCAATAGCGCAAGGTGTTAAAGCAAATGATATAGCAGGGGCTATACCCCCCTCCACTTTGTGACCGACCCCTGGATAATCTGCTCTCTATCTATGTGGACCCCATCTACAGCCCCTGCCCAAACATGGCCCGCTGAGATTGGGCACAGTGTTTCTCTTCAGTGCCAGCCTCTGCTCTGCTTTGTACTCATTCATGGGACATGGGCATCGCAGGCTGGGCACAGCATTTATTGCCCGTCCCTAGTTGCCCCTTGAGAAGATGGGGGTGAGCTGCCTTCTTGAACCACTGCAGTCCATGTGCTGTAGGTAGACCCACAAAGCCCTTAGGGAGGGAATTCCAGGATTTTGACCCAGCGACAGAAAAGAACGGTGATATGTTTCCAAGTCAGGATGGGGTGTGGCTCGGAGGGGAACTTATTCTCCAGTTAAAAAGAAAAGCACTTAGATCTTGGTCACTGCTCTGTAACTTCCTCCAGAGCCACAGTTCTCCAAGGTCTCTCTGTTCCTCCAATTCTGATCTGTCGCCTATTCCCTGGGTTTTCAACACTTCAGCTCCCTCAGCCCCAGCTCTGGAGTTTCCTCCTGAAACATTTCTGCATCTCTCCCCTCCTCTGAGGTGTTTCTTAAAATCCTCCCGGTTCGACCAACATTTAACTAAACCATTCAGGGGTTCTGTATGTGGCTCAGTGTTGGATTTTGTCTGAAGACGTTCTCCTGCGAAGCACCCTGGGATGATTGACGACATTGAAGGTGCAATGTAAACGCACGTTGTTGTTGTTATCAAGGCGAGACGGCCACCTGGCCACAGGCTGTTTGACTACATTAAAGGCCCTACGTAAATGCACATTGTTGCTGTTATGAATCCCTCTGTTATCACAAGCCCAGGGTACAAACATAAAAGGGCCACCTGGCCCTCAAACACACAGCCGGACTCTCCCCGGAAAGCTCTGCACTTGCACTTCTCCCTACCTTTAAAAGTTTGGGACAAA